ATTTTGTACTCGTGGTGATTATAATTTGAATTATCAGTAAATCTAGAATAAGAACAAAGCTCTACAATCAAATTATTCAGCCATTTACCAGGTTATCTAATATTTTATAGTAACTGTCTTATAATTGCCTTTTAACTTGTTAGATATATTCAACTTAGTTACCTACCTTATTCGTTGTTTTTGTCCACCCGATAGATTGATGCCCTTTTCGCCTATTTCAGTTAAGTCGCCGTTCGGAAGTATCGATATGTCCATTTCAAGAGCACATGCCTTGATTATGCGATCATACCGGGTTTCATCGTAGGGACGCTGGAAACAAATGTTGTCACGCAAGGAGGCATTGAAGATCCACGGTTGCTGAGGGACATAGGCAACAGAACCCTGTGGTAGAATAGATGGAATTAATTACATATTTGAGATATAAAATTTCTTAGCAAAAGAGACGTTTTAGGTGAATCTTATGAAATTCATGTGTATATAACAATACTTCGAACGAAAGAATTAAATGCTAGCAGTTCCATTACTGACGTGCATATATATGTTTAAGTATGTATGTATGGAAAATAATGATATATAAGTGTAAGCGTATGCCGTTGTGCGTAATGACCTTGCTGTTGTTGCCACGAGGACAAACAATCCAAAGATGATAAAGCAGCGCAAACATTATTAATAATGCCCCAGAATAAAGTTGATTCAAAATGGCTAAAACAATAAGGTCAGAAAGGTAAGCATGAATTTCGCGTGAATAAGAGCAATGCAATTGGTGAAATGCTATTATCTCAAATGGCTGATTTTTTGGCAGCAAGGAACACTATTTATCGTATAATATTATAAGAATGCGTAATTCTATCTACGATGACGCAAAACGGAGGCATGCTATTGTATAAGAAATAAGTGCGTTAGGCAGAGCAAAAAACAGATCTTTTTCGAGATGAACTCTAGCATCGACTTAGTCACATAGTCAGAAACATGGATACTAAATTTAAAGTAAAACCCGTTATTTAATTGAAGATATGAAGACCAAGGTGTTGTGGCCTCTGATATGATCGCAATCTCCTTTCGATTTATAGGAGTGGGTTGACTTCGTTGTCGTAACTTGGTCTTGTTGTCAGGCTGACCTAGTAGAACTCACCTAGTCCGAAGTCGTCTGCCATATTAGTTGTCATGATTCCCAGTATCAGATAATAGACTTGGTACATTCACAAACGTTTTGCCGGCATCATAGTTGGCATCATCAGTGAGTTTTGCCATTCCCCACACCAAGCTACGAACTCCTCAAAGAGACAAGTGAAGTCAATACCTCAAAAGACGTTCTGCCAAAACGGTTATACTATCACTACCCCTTCTGTCCTGGCCTATCTATCTACTTTTTACCCTCTTATTCCACTGTCTCCCTATCACAACTTCTGACTTGTTTACAGTCGACTCGTCAAAATGTGTGCGCCTTTGTGGCAAATCTAGCGTGGCCTCATCACACTTGCTATTCACTCCGATCCCCTCTCTTTTGAATGGCTAATCCATTTGGGCTTCCTATTCTGATCTCCCTCATTGTCTCGTAGATCCGTTCCTTATCTTTCTGATTGACATATTGCATTTGGTTCCATGCTATTTCTCAAGGCCCTAGAAGCACATACACTGCCGCTTTACTGAGCAGAGCACCTAAGCTCTGATTGTCATGCCTGCAGATGTCAGGCCTCCCCTTTAAGGGTCGTCACATTGATTAAACCCATGTTATCTGAGCAAACTTTAGAGAATGGTTAACCTCACTGATGATGCCGACTATGATGCCGGCGAAACTTTGAAGAATGTACCAGGTTCACTCTTTGATGCTGTGAATCATGAAAACTACTATGTCAGACGACTTCGGACTAGGTGCGTTCTGACAACAACACCAAGTTGCGACAACGAGGTCAACCCACTTCTGAAACCAGTTATTTAAAAGCCATACAATCAGAAGGATTTGTGATAGGCAGTAAAATGACTACTAATACAAAGAAGATTTTTTTAACACAACTGGTTGCCTACCAGTACTACCTCTCGTCAAAGGAAAGGACCGTCTGCCATTCGAGATAGGCTCTCAATATAAGTCTAAAGGGATAAGATCGTATGGACTAGGGAATATTGGGCTTAATTAAAATCTACACTACCATTTATATCAATAATAGGAAGGATTAGAAATTATCAGAATTAAAACTAGAGATATCAGAACTGAATTAGAGCTATTGTTGTCCTGGGTCGGTTAAAATAATTTAATCGCTTATAATTAAATTTTCCAAGAAGGATAAAAGTGAGCCTCATGCTGCCATTTATCTTTACATAAGCATTTTCAGTCAGGATGGACTGTAGTTTTGATTTATACTTACATGCTACCTATATGAAACATTAATACGAGTTTCAGTGAGTCAAAAGGTAGTCTTATTTCATAAGTGTATTTCGCAACTTAGTCATATTTATAGGAAGAATTAGAAAAGAGATCGCAGGGGGATGAGAAAGGAACCATCAGAAGCAAAGAGGAGACGTTTTCAGTGAGCCTAATCAAAACAAGTAGACTCCTGACAATTATGGGTTGGCACACAAGAGACTAGGGCGTATGAGTTGATTGACATGGTATTACAAATAGAAATAGGAAAGACGCGGTGAAGACTAAAGCTATTTGGCTGACAATAGACGTGTTTGATCATAGACGCGATCCTTGAATCACGACTATTCTTAGCCAACTAGCTCTAGCTTCTACTGTTTCTTTACTCTTTCTATTTAAAATACCAAGTCTATGACTTGCTATGCCCTTGTCTCTTGTATGCCAAACCCACAAACGGCGTGGTTCAACATTGAACCTAATCAAAGCATGCAGTACCACAACATTTGTGGGTTGGCACACAAGAGACTAGCACATGGCAAGTAATACACTTGGTACTAGGTATAGAGACAGGATAAACTCGGTGGCGACTGGAGCTAGTTGGCTGATAGTAGGTTTTACAAGAGACGTGGTCCATGTAGCAAAGGCATGACTTACTCAGAGGCTTTAGCCTCGAATTAGTCACCCCGAAGCAGGGAAGGGCGAATAACGCCTCGAGTAGTACAGATGGGGGGCAGGAGTCGAGTGAAATACGTGTACCAGAGAGATAGCAGACGGATTCTACGGAGCAAGAGGGAGACTCTGATAGGACCAAGGGAAGGAGGACTACGTAACAATATGGCAGACTCTCGTCTGCCTCTAAATATTCCTACAAATATGACCAAGTTGCGAAAACAACTTCTATACAACGAAAGGAGACTGCGACTACACAAAAGGCCACACCATATTGTTCTTCATACCTTCGATTAATTTCTACTACCAGTCCTTCGTCACATTAGACGAAAAAGGATGAATACATCTCATATTAAATATAGATAAACTACGATGATAATTACAAACAAAAAACAGCATGGTCCTGAATAATTTGACTCTCATAGCAGTCGAATCTCATATAGAATTAATTTGTAAACATTATAGAAATATCGGTCAGCTATTTCT